TCCAAATTTATTCGATTTTGTTTTTCATATCTTTACGAAATACTCCTATATGAATTCCAATTTGTTTGGCAATGTACGGGTATATTGCTTTTCTATTGCATCAACGATATTCTTCTTCATCACATGAGGTCTTTATTTCTCTGTTATTGCTCTGAAGCAATATGAATTGATTGAATTGCAAACGGAATAATACCGCTTGCTGACAAACAGAAACATTTGCATATCAAACAAAACTCAATTGGAATGTGTGGCCTGAATATACATAAATTTACATTGGAAGTGTAGTCTCAAGTCACACATTTGTCAAATTGCGAAACTAATGAATTTTTTCATTATTTGATATGGGAAAGACCGATGCTGCGAATATTTTAATGATAATTCAGATTGTTGCACATTCTCTATAACGTCGTTATGATATCGATTCATTAAAATATGAGAATACATTCAACAGTGTCGTTAGGTGAATAAAATCATTTTCAGTTATATAAAAATCAATATTTTTAACATAACTTGGATTTGCATATACTTTGATAATCATGCGACATGAAGCGATCATGGTTGAAATAATGAGATCTCGTAGCGTCGAGGTTTTGGGTTCGAATGATTTTGCAAAGTATTGTGAATACTAGGGGAGAGGCGGGTAAGTTGACGACGAAAATATGAAATAGTATTCAAAAAACTGAAATGTTTTTTTTACAAAACTGAAAATGATGTATTTGAGAAATTCGTCATCTTACCCGAAGGTAGGCTAAGATGACGGATATATGCGGGTAAGTTGAAGTATTTTAGCACAAGTTGGAGTTAGAGAAGTTGTGGAAGTGGCCGAGGTGGTAGTGCGACCGACTCACGATAGGAAGGCCGTGGTGAACAATACTGTTTGTTGGTAACCATGTGATTTGGCGTCACCTGACACGGCCACTTCACAGCAAATGCGATAACATGCGTTAACTGACAAGAGATGTCAAAATGTGTTTTCATTAAAATATAAAATGTATCTATTTTATTATGAAAATAGGACAGTTGTACAAAAAACTGAAAAATAACATTGAAACCACTCTTTATAATCACGCATTGTGAGCCGTCACTGTGATGCAGAACTGGGAATAAATAAGATTACCCAGAATTCCTTTCAACAAACCACAGGCTTCCTGTTGTAACTACAAAGAGCCCTCCTACGACGAAGGATTGCCAAGCTATACAATTTCCCCCAGACGTCGCCAATCAGGACAAAAATGACGCCAGAAGGACGGCCGTGTGTCACTCCAGCAACGGTTTCATAACCCACTAGAAAACATGAAGTGCATGCCGACAAGTTTCTAATTAAACTCCTAAGGGTTCTCAGAGGACTCAGCAACCTTCAACATGAAAATATACAGGGTGCTGTCAATCGACTAGACATTCAAGGAACCGATACTAATTAAATGTTGTAATTGATGAGCTTTCAACATATTTATCTGCTAATTCAAAATATTTAGAAATCAGGCGTTCGAATAACCAATTACAGGGTGAGTCAACAAGACTCCTTCGGTTCATTGCTGTCAGGTAAAACAATTTTTCGAATCGATAAATACTACTTTTAACATTATTTTTTTCGCATACTGGGTAGTTCAGCCGAGCGTGGCAATCCAAAGTTTTATTTATTCAAATGGAACACCCAGTACATGAATACGTCATTCGATTCCATATTTTTTTAGCTCTGTAAGGAATTTTTGTTTTTGAATTGTCATTGCGGCATTGGCAAGGTATTCCAGAGAAACCTATTTGGTGAATTTTTAATTCACCACCCGCTTGTCTACAGCCATAAAGTGGATTCTTTTTAGGAATAGTTATTCAACATCACTGTGATGATTTCGAGAATCTTAACTTTTGAAAACAGTATATAGGGTGCTCGATAAAACCGGTCAAATTTAATTCATTTTGGAACAAACATAATTCAACTTTTTCAAATGAAATACCATGTACTTTTTCATTTGTATGAAATGTAAGATTTCACTACATTTATTATCGGAGGTATGCTATACGAAAAACAGATATTTTACAAATCACACCCGTTTCATTAATTGTTGTAACCACAAATAATTCATTTATTTATGTTCACTTACCTAAATCTTTTTAAATATGAACAATAAATTTTGAAAAATTAATGAGGAAAATATAGACAGTATTGAAATTAACCTAATGATGCACAACTTTGATTTAACTTCTGTTGACGTTGACAAAATTTATAATTTTGGAGACATGTGAAACTGTAATAAAAATGCCCCTATTGAAATATGAGATATATGATTTAATCAAGAAGAGGGATAGAGCATATAAACTTTTTAAATCGAGCTGCAACAACAACAGACAAGATGAATGGGAAACCTTTGAACTATTGAGAAATGATGTTGTCAATCTTTTAAAACAAAAAAAGAAATATATTATTTTGACAATATTGACAGATATAGACATAATCCCAAAGAAATGTGGAGAACTTTGGAGAGACTGGTTAACAGTAATAGCCATAATGTCTCGAATTGTATATGTATATATTTTGAATCAAATGAGTATAATCGACTATTAACAAGTAACAGAAATAGCGTACGGTTTTAATAATTATTTTTTTTCATAGTATTAATGATATTATACAAAGTATTAGCATCACTGAAAGTTGGCACAATGTAAACAATAATTTCTATTGTAAATTCGAAAACTTCAAAATGCTCTCTATGATAGATTTGCGGATAATAGTTAGTAACCTAGACAATAAATTCTCCATATATGAAATGCTGAACTGTAAAATGATCAGAGAGGTCTTCGAACCCATCGGTCATATTATTCTAAACTTAATTAATACATCTCTATATTCAGGAAAAATACCATATAATATATGACATAATAAAAATCGACAGGCCATATTCTGTTAAGTTTCTACGGCCGTGAACTGTGAACTTCATTCTGCAAACCTATAATCCGACCCTTTGCAAGGCCACGCTTGAGTTTAAGCGATTTTCCGACCGAAGATAGTAAACAAAACAGCGTACTCCATCAGCGCTACTCTGATATACATCAATGATTGATTAGTCGGAAATTCAAGGAAATGAGATTCAGCTATAACCTAATCCAGCCTGAAAATGAGCCGTTTCTCTCGAGAGCTTTGCTAAACTTGAGTAGGTGGGTGTTGCTGAAAGTGAAATCTGGTTACAATTTGACATGAACTTCTGACTATTATTATCATCTCAACGTGACGATTCCATGTAGAACATTTTATCAATTTTTTTGTTATGTTCATCGATATACTGCTATAGACAATGTAGGTATCGAATTATTTATGATAGGTACAGGCAATGTAGGTACAAATACTCAGATTTTAATGTAATCTAGTTAGTTTTGAAAATGGTGTAATCATCGAAACTAGTGAACAAATATAAAACTTTCGTGGAAAAAAGGAAAAGGGGGGTTTTAATGTGTATTCTCAGTGAACAGCGAAAGTGTTACCAAGGGTTGATAGACAGTTAATGACGTAAAATTTCACCGGAGACCCAGCTTTATAAACCCGCAGATGTTACACTGGTGACAGCTAGGTGGGATGTCTCTGTTAAGAAATAAAAAAAAATAACGAGTTAAATCCGTAGTTGTTACAAAGGATATTTTGAGAAGCTAGGCAGTTCTTATCGTTATCTACCTTATTGAACGTCGCTGGGAAAAGTATATAGAGCTGCAAAGAGATTAAATTGAGAAATAAGTATTTTTTTTTTATATTTGTATTTTCTTTCTTGGGCCGGGTACTTCTGTGGCCACCCTCTTATAGTTCAGGAATGGAGCATAACCTCATTTTTTACACGCTGTATGTAGGTATGTATGTTTGCTTGTAACTCTCAAGCTTGGGATCTGTATTTGACAGAATTATCGGCATTGTTGCTTGATCTATTCGCGGGCAGATGCCGCTGTACGGAACCTTCTTGGTATATCGACATTATTGCTTGATCTATTCGCGGGCAGATGGCGCTGTATGTAACCTCCTTGATATAATTCGAACTCCTTTGCGCGCCTGCTGCCTTGGGCTGATTTTCAGACTCCCTCTCCGGAATCGAAAAATATCAATGGTCATTTTTCTAAACAATATACGGCTGATTGATCTCAAAGTTTAGATAAAATAAATATAGTTTAAAAAGATTAAAAACACGCTTTTATAGCATATGAAACTGAAAAATTAAAAATAAATATAGTTTAAAAAACATCGAACTGAAAAGTTGAAAATATTTTTATTAAATAGGTAAGCTTGAAACAATAACGAACGAAAAATACTAGTACTATTGTGAAAAAAGCGTGGGCGCTTTGTGCCATATTTTTTGTATCATAATAATACTAGTATTTTTCGTTCGTTATTGTTTTAAGCTTATTTAAAGAAATATTTTTAACTTTTTATTTCGATATTGTTTAAAAGCATGTTTTTTAGTTTTTTAAACTATATTTATTCTGAAAATATGCGATTATCAATACTTATAAAGAGAACAGTCTCAAGGATATTTCAAAAATCAATTAGAAATATTAGAAGCTATAAACTATGTCACACACCTTTATTGCTCTTCATGAGTTGTATTTGAATAATATTTTTTTTGGTTGATTTAGGGTGATAATAAAACCTGAAGCTATCTGCTCAGATATAATTACGATTTGGTGATTGCTCTTATTTGGTATTTGTTTTATCTGAATGTGATTTTGTTTCCAATATTGTGTCTTGTTGTGTTGTACGTGACAAATACTCTAAATCAAGCATGGATCATTAGATACTACAAACAGGAATATCGATTGGTTGACTCAATGTTCTTGATCATATGAATACCTTTTCAATGGTGACCTTCAGAGAATACATTACTAATGATAGTTTGGGTTTTGTTGTTCAATATATTGGCAGAATCGTTAAAATGGAAGTACTTGTTGTACATTTGAAAACTTCGATAATAAGCAATTGAATAATATCTATGAAATGTAATAAGTTAGAACAATTGAAGACTTACCCACTCCACATTTGTCTAGATGATTTGTTACTGGTAATTCTGGTCGACAAAGACACTGATGTATCAAATCATCACAGACCGATCCATCGAAACCGCATTCCCGTGTTTGACTGCATTTGTCTCCAAACTTTTTGTTTCCCCGGTCTGCAACAGAAAGTCACGTATTAAGTTCATGATGAAATGAGAAACTTGCTTTCAAACAAATACATTATCGTATAAGTGGATCTGAACTGAAATTATAAAGGAAAAATTTTTTAGTGTATTGAAGGATGAAATCGAAAACTGCTTGATCAATTTTGAAAATTTCACACATTTGATGATAGTTGGGTGAAATTTGGACATGTTTCACAGACAGGACACATTGCGTTTCTGATAATTTGGAAAAGTGTTTGTTTTTGTAACTTATCAGAAACTTGTTACGTTGGAAATATGATCGTTCAGTAGTAGCTTTATTTGGCGCCTGAAGAGGTTTATGGAATGTAAAGAACATCTAGTGACAGTGACCAAGGAAAATAAAACTATTTTTACGTAAAGTGCATGGAACTTATTCTATACGAGAAACAAGGCAACCTAAATTATTTATAGAGGCTCGTAGTGACTCTCTCATAGGTAGCTCTGTTGGAGCAATTACGTTTAGTGACATTTAGCTACTGTACATTTGATGACAGTTGGGTGGAATTTTGACATGTTTTACAGACAGGACACATTGCGTTTCTGATAATTTGGAAAAGTGCTTGTTTTGTAACGTTGGAAACATGACCGTTCAGTAGTAGCTTTATCTGGAGCCTGAAGAGGTTTATGGAATGTAAAGAACATCTAGTGACAGTGACCAAGGAAAATAAAACTATTTTTACGTAAAGTGCGTGGAACTTATTCTATACGAGAAACAAGGCAACCTAAATTATTTATAGAGGCTCGTAGTGACTCTTTCATAGGTAGCTCTGTTGGAGCAATTACATTTAGTGACATTTAGCTACTGTACATTTGATGACAGTTGGGTGGAATTTTGACATGTTTCACAGACAGCACACATTTCATGTCATGTCGTGTCATGTCTCAAATATCATATCATGCTAAAGCTTTCGTTTTCAAATTGAAAAAGGTATATCTTTAGGAGAGATTAGTTAATGTATGAAGATGGAGAAGTAGAAGGCCAAAATTTTTCTTTCCCAATGGAGCTTTCATATTACGTTAACTTCCTCAGGCGTGTTGAATACTAACTAACAATTTCTACATCGTGCTTTAATGACACTCGGGCTGAAAAGTCCCGGACCTAGGAAAGAAAACTCGTTTCTTTTTGTTCAAAACTGGCTTTTCATTAAGAGCCATCCAGTGCCACTCTAACATTTTAATATCACTTTTGTAGAACGGTTTTTCTTTTTTCTCAAAATAGGCCTCAGTTTCAGCAATAGGTATCCTCTTCATTCGAGCAAAATTTCTTGCCGTTGAGCATTTTTTGAGGCCTGTGAACAGAGAAAAGTCGCTAGAAGCTAGATCTAGAGAATACGGTGGATGCGGAAGCAAGTTGAAACCCAATTCATTTAATTTTCACATCGTTTTGATTGACTTGTGATTGACAAATTTGTTACTTTGCCATATGCAGTCATTTCTTTGCAATTTCGGCCTTCAAACGCTCCAATACCACTATATAATATTCACTGTGGATGGTATTTCCCTTCTCAAGATAGTCGATGAATCTTAAACCACCTACATTCCAAAATACTGAGGTTATAACCTTTCCAGCTGATTGTTGTGCTCTCGGGCGCTTTGATCAAGGTTCACCAGTTGATCTCCACTCAGATGACAATCTTTTTTATTCCGTAGGGAACTGATGAATCCATGTTTCATCAATTGTCACATATCAAAACAAAAATTACGGTTTGTTATGTTCAAACATGGTCAAACACTTCTCAGAATCATCAAGACGTTCTCGTCAACAGTGAGCTCACGCGGCACTTACTTCGAATATACCTTTCTAATAGTCAAATGCTCATGCTATATAAAGGCAACACGTTCTTTTGATATCTTCATAATGTCAGGTAATACACGCAACTTCACTTTTCGACCATTCAAAACGATTTTGTGGATCCTTTTTATGTTTCCTGGTGTTACTGCCACTGCGTTCTACATCATCACTTTTCAAGCCATTGCCGTGTACAAAATATGGTGTGCCCAAACCCAAGCCACAAACGGACATTCTTTGGCCTTGGTACGTATCAATAGTCTGATTGGAGACTGCCCACGTTTAAAATGAATTGGCACATCTGTAGATATCAATATATTCTCATCTCGGAACATGCCAGTCAAAATGCTGGCTTCGACAACGTTTTTCATTTATTTTTCAATAATAATAATAATAATATCTTTATTTACCACTTATGATACAATTTGTATATATGGTACGTCAGCCAGAAATTTCATATAGATAAGTCAAAAAACTAAAATTTAAATGTTAAAATATAAAATATAATATATGAAATATAAAGCACACAGGTATATTTATGTAAAAATAAGGTACCTAAATCTAGGTCTATTA